CCCCAAATCCAACAAATATTTTGTCAACTTTTCAATGTCAACTTACGAATACCAGTGATTCTAAAATAAGTTGGGAGTTTGCAGGTCCTCTTGAGACTTTGAAGAAGGCTATGGCTCCCTCTTACTCCAAAAAATGCATATAAAGAATTTTGCATATAATTTGGGGAGGTTTGAAAACCTTCCAAAACTCCCTCCCAAGAGACCCCATGGGATATAGGTTAAGAACTCCTGGTTTAGAAAAACACTGAACTCTACTGATATGAAATATTGAGTTGACTATAATGGGAAGAGAGGAAACTAAACTTGTATAAGAAAATGGACGTCTGTGGAGTGCCGTATGGCCTCGGGCAAATGACTGACTTTTCTGTGTCCTAGTCATGGCCCCCCTTCCCTCTGTGCACCTGGGTGTATTGTGAAGTTCACCAAGGTAACATTGGGTCAGGGCTTTGAGCTCCCCAGAGAAATATGTCCTGCTTCTTTTTGAGAATTCCTTTCCAGACTCTCTAGCCCGAGGAAATTCACAAACCCAAATTAGACAACAAATTAGCAGGGAATGATTATACTGCTGTGGGCATTCCAGAAAAAGGAGTGAGGGCCTGTTTGCAGGTTCCTAAGCCTGGAGGAGCGAAGACCTGGCACTAGGAACTTCTTTAGGTTCATCACCTAGAGCCCCACCCTGGTGGGGTATAGTTGGTGTAGGGATGAGCCTGCTGGGTGATCTGTGTTGATAAGTGGTTGAGTGTGTGTGTGTGGGGGGGGGTGGGGGTGGAGATGAGAGAAGAAGGAAGTGGTAATGTCAGCTGGGGGGGGGAACAGACTCCTGAGAGGCTCTAAGACCAACAGTATTTGGAAACTAAGTCACATCCTCTCCCGTCCCATCACCAAAGGACATGGGCTGGTTGACCAGTAACAAAGTGAACCTCCCCTCTTCTTATATCTGCCCTCCACCCCTTAGGTATGCTGCCCTTTGGTATTTCCCCGCCTTTTAAAGGCTATTCTTGGTGCTTATTTTAATCAGATTTTGCCTGGATAGGGAAGTTGAGGGTGAGGAAGAAGGCCTATACCATAGGATTTCCTTGGTGTCCGACTCAGGCCCCTAATACAGATAATAATATTTATTGAGCATTTAGTATGAGCTAGGCAATGTGCTATGGGCCCTATTATGTACATAGTCTCCTTAAATTCTCCTGTCTCAAAATTTGATGATTATTTCCATTTTACAGATGAGAAAACTGAGATTCAGAGAGTTAGTTAGCTTGGTTTAGGTCATTGTATTGGGGAAAAACCCCAAAACCCTGCCTTTCCTTCTCCTGGGTGTATCCCATACTCTCATACTTCTACCACACTCACTTCGGACCCTTCTGATATGTGTGATTTTTTTTCCCCCACCAAGCAATTCTTTAACACCAGCTGGGTGTCCTACAATTGTATTCAATTCTGATAGTACCTGGAGAGAGCATCACATCCCACAGGTCAAGGGCTCAGTCCCATGAGACTTTCCCCCCACTTCAGACGCCAACTTAAGTACTAGGTCCCCAAGTTACCCACAAGTCCTATCCCATTTGGCTACAATACGGAGGATCCCATGACTTCCTCCCCCTTGGATTCAATGACTTGCTTGAGGGGCTCACAGAACTCAGGGAATCTCTTACATTTACCAGTTTATTATTATTATTATTTTAAAGATTTTATTTATTTGACAGAGAAAGACGCAACAAGAGAAGGAACACAAGCAGGGGGAGTGGGAGAGGGAGAAGCAGGCCTCCCGCTCAGCAGGGAGCCCAGGACCCTGGGATCACGAACCCCGAAGGCAGATGCTTAACGGCTAAACCACCCAGGTGCCCCTACCAGTTTATTAAAGGAGGTGATGAAGGATACAAATGAACAGCCAGATGAAGAGATAGGTAGGGGAGGTCTGAGAGAGTCCCAAGCTTCTGTCCCCGTGGAGTTGGGGTGCATCAACCCACTGGTACATGGATGTGTTCCCCAACCTGGAAGCTCTCCAAACCTTATACTACTGGGATTTTTATGGAGGCTTCCTCATGGAGGCATTACTCACCATTAACCCACTTTTCAGCCCTCTCCCTTCTCAAGAGAATGGGGATGGGGCTGAGGCTGAAAATTCCAAGCTTCTAAGGGCTTGAACTTTCTTTCTTTTTTTTTTTTAAAGATTTTATCCATTTATTCATGAAAGACAGAGAGAGAGTTTTTTTTTTTTGGAGAAGCAGTCTCCCAAGGAGCAGGGAGCCCGACGCGGAACTCGATCCCACGACCCTGGGATCATGACCTGAGCCGAAGGCAGACGCTTAACCATCTGAGCCACCCAGGCGCCCGGGCTTGAACTTTCCAATGACCAGCCCCCATCCAGGAGCCCACCCAGAGTTGCCTGATTAGGACTAAAGACACTCGTATCACCCAGAAAATACAAGGGTGTCAGGAGCTCTGTGCCAGCAACTGGAGGCAGAGACCAGCGTACATTTTGTATGATCTCACAGTCATTGGGTCAGAAAGTGGTGAGTCAAGATTTTGAACACGGGTCACCGAGTGCCGAGTTCTTACTCACCATCACTCTGCTGTGATGGGCCCCAGAGGCATGGCTGGGATTTAGGAATTTCTCTGAGAAGAGCACCTGTGCCAGGCCCCTGCCTATCCGGTCTGTCCTGAGCCCTGGCGGTTCTGCCTTCCCTAAGTTTCTGCCATTGTTTTCCCCTTCCACTCCATTGCTTACTCTTGACTCTAGGCCTCTGTCAATGGTCTCAGGGGTGCTCTTGGTGCCAGTCTGGGCCTCCTCCATCCCTCAGTCTGGATGCCAATGTGACTTTTCTTCCTAGAACTTTGCTTTGGGCCTGGGACCCCCTGCTCCTAAACCACTAGAGCTCCTCATTCACTACAGAATAAAATCCAAACACCATAACCACTTGCTTCCTCTTTTCTTCTCTCTGCCACATCCAGACTATACATATTGTCTATCCTCTTGCATTAGCTTTTGTTCTGATACTTACATTTTTATCAAAACTGTTTAAAATGCATTTCAATGGTATACGTTGCCATGGATCCTTTGGGGACAAGAATAAATATTAAATTGTAATAACACAGGTAAATACTCATCATTTCCCAGTGGCCCTGGCCAAATTCAGTCCTTCCCCTTAAAAAGGCCTCCTCACACCCCTCCCTGGATTGAGATCCTAGCTCTCTCTCAGGCTCCAGGTGAAACTTCCCCAGTTTAGGTAAACCTCCCACTGCCCTGGGCCTGAATATCACCCACTTCTCCCAACTTTTGTTCTTCATCGGGCTGTACAAACTGGGACCAGGCATGGGCTGAAGCCCCGGCACTTCCCTGAGTTAGACCTGGGTGTGAATTCTGCTCTGCCACTTCCAGCTGAGGGAACTTGAGCAAGTCACTTCATCTCTGAATCTGTTTCTGCATTCATACTATGTGGGTAATACCATCTATTGTACGTGTACATGTGGTTAAATGCCAAATTCACAGCATCCTAAGAGGTGGTAGAGACCGGCGGCTAAGACGATAGCCCTTGGACCTGGGTTCAAACCCTGGCTCTACCACTTACTCACATTGTGACCTTGGATGAACTGTTGAATATTCGGTGACTCAGTTTCCCTATCTGTAAAATGGAGATGATGGGTTTATTATAGGAATAAGTGAGTTGATACATGTAGGGTACTTAGATGCCTGGCTCAGAGGAATTGATTTAAACAAATTGGCCGTTACCTTATAAAGCATTCTTTCTCCTTATTCAAGACTCCATTCGTTACCCCTGTGATGAAGTTTAAGTGAGGTTCAGTAGGGTGCAGTCTGGAGCTGACGACCAAGAAAGAATTCTTGAGACATCTTTGGTGCAAAATGGTGGTTTATTAAAACACGGGGATCAGGACCTGTGGGCAGAAAGAGCTGCTGCCCTGGGGTTGGGAGGGGTGGCTGATTTATACTTGGGAGTTGGGGGAGGTAAGGAAAAGGGAGGTTTCAAAAGGATTTTTGTATGTTAAAGAAGACTCACAGGATACCAGAGGCCTCGCCATTGTCAAGTTAAGGAGGTTTTTCCTTCTAGCGAGGCATTAACAGTAAGATAATTGGGAGCTTCCTGGAGAAACATTACACTTGGCCCACTTCAAGTGTCTGTCAATGGGCTGCAGGTTATAAGGACATTTAATTGTATCTACATTCCCTTCTGGAAGCTAGGCCATTGATAGAAATGTTTTGTCCTTGTAAATTGCTGAGACATTTGTAAACTGAGGGAGACTCCTGTCCCTCAAGACTGTGATCTCTATCAGTTAACCATTTGTTTTTCCTTTAGGGCAGCCAGGAATGCCTGAGGAATGTCACACATGTCCCACCCAGGAGTGGGGGGTGGGGGGATGTTGCAGGGTGTCAGCTTATGCTTTGTCTTCAGCCAGCCTTCTGTTCCCTCATCACCTGTGCCTAGACTGCCACTGTCACAACCGAGGCAGTGTCCTATATGTTCTTTTATCCCTGAGCCTAATACCCTGCCTGGCATGTGCGCAAGATCTATTTATGCTGCTGAACACACCATGATGGGTATCATGGGAAGATGCCTACAGATGCAAAGGATAAGGTTTCCAAATTGTGATCACCTGGAGCAGATGCTGAGTGGGGAGGGGAGGTTGGGGATAGAGGTGGAAGAGGAGGAGGGCTGGCTCCCTTCCCCCCCAAAAAAACCACGCTCTTAATCAGATTCAGAGTGTGCCATCCGGGCAGGACACCTCTCCGGGGCGGGTGTGGGGGTGGGTTTCAGGCCTCACCTCAGTGGCGCCACAGCCCCGCCTACCTCTGCCCCCATCCAGGGTGCTGTCCGCTCCCCTGCTCCCACCCGGGTGGCCTCCTGCCCCGCCAGTCCCTTCCAGCCGCAGCCCGGGGCCTCCCTGCCTGGCCACATTTCCCGAGCCCCGCAAGGGTTAAGGCAGTGGAGAGGAGAGGTTTGGGCTGACGTCGCTCTGGCTGAAGGTGGTTCCCCTCGGATGAGGATGGGAGAGCCTGGCGAGCTGAAACCCGAGCTCCCGTTCAGCTGGGGCTTGGGGAGGTCCCTGTAAGAGCCGCCTGCCCCCGGCCTCCCGCGGTCCCTCCGCAGCAGTCGCTCAGCTCATCGGGCACGGGCGTGGGAACGATGGAGCTGGGCTCCTGGACGCAGTTGGGGCTCACTTTCCTGCAGCTCCTTCTCATCTCATCTTTGCCTAGAGGTACCGTGAGTGGCGTTTAGGGGCCCCCCCAGGGGTATGTCCCTCCTGGGTACGGTGGGGAGCATGCTTGGGGAGCCCCAAGGGATGGTGCTGGGCGGGGGATGGCCAGCGCTTCTTCTAGTCTTGTCTAATCTTAGGGGCTTGGCTGGTGGTGCTGGAGTATCTGTCCTCCCTGAGAATGTGACACCGTTTTATCATCCCGACTTGTGGGACTGAACTGCCTCAGGAAGGGGTACGAGCTCTAGTTTACTTTGCTGGTTTTCGTTTTATCTTTGTAAAGCACAGACGTACCTCCGGGAATCTATCCAGTCTGACTCACCCACTCTGACTGGCAAAAGGGAGAAGTTTCCCCTGGAAAGAGCCCCTTCAGAGGTGAAGCGGGAAGGAGAGAAACCAATCAAGAGCAAGGCTTGCAGCAAGGGTGTCCCTCCTGGTGAATGTTGCTTGATGAAATGTGGCTTGTCACACCCTTCAGAACAGAGCCCCAGCATGGGAGATTTACCCACTCAGCATATATGCACTTCCTTCCTGATAAGAATGAGAAAGAAGAAGAGAAAGCCGAGGTTAAAAGTGCAAGCGTTTCTGGGGACACACAGCGTTTGTTTAGAAAGAGCTCTGGCTTGTGTGTTTTTTCACTATCATTTTCTGAGCCGCAAACCCCATGTCAAATGGGCTCCCGGGGCGAGGGAGGCTGAAATGCGACCCAGAGCTCTTGGGGGCCTCTTGGCCCAGTGAGGGGATGGCAGGCTTGTCTTGTCATTGCTTGCTAGAAGACAAGGAAGCAGGGACTTCTTAAGAGCCTTTGTCCTTATGCGCCTCCAGCGGGGCAAGGTGTCAGGAGGCAGGTGGGACCTCAAGAGGAAAGGACAGGCTGACATGTGCAGATGTGACAAAACAGGGCAGCTTTGATAGGAGCAGAGAGTGTGTGAGCATTTGCTACTTGCCTTCTGTGCTGGTTACTTGTCACCTGTGTTCTAGAGAGGTGCATGCTCGGTGGCTGCAAGTAACTGGTGAGTGTCCCAGAATGAAACAGGGTAAGTGGGGTGGTGAGGGCATAAAATCAGCAGTCTGCTGTATGGATGGGGGACTTGACCATAGGCACAGCCCTTCATGATGATCAAAAAGCCAAGATACATGGGGAAAAAAGAAACCCAACAAACCCATTTTGGTCAATACTTTCCATCTACCTATAGCCCACTGGCCCCAGGTGAAATCTTCTCTCTCTCAAACTGGAGTGTTTCATTTGAATTTTGCCTCAGTGGCATCTGGAGTAGCCCAAAGACAATAAATAATGAAGGAAGAAGGAGTCCCCATGAGGGGCCTTGATAATCCATAAACGCAGACCCTCGCCTAGGGGTAGGTCGAGGACTTTATATGAGGATTCCTCCCTGCTCCATCTCTGCCTTTTGGAGCCGAACCTCCAGGGCATGGTGGCCCTAGCCCAACTCCAGGGGAGGCTGGTTCCTTCCCAGAGCACCAGGGCTCCAACAACTTAGCTTCCTCCTGACTACGTCAATGCTCCCCTGCTTCCTCTTTTTTTTTTTTGTAACGTGGCAGGTGAGATGGCTCAAGCTCATACAAGTTAAAGAACAAAGCTCAGCTGCCCCTTTCTTCTTGCCCAGGATCTGGAAAAAAAAAACATTTACTCCTGACCCAAGAATCTTTTACCTTTTGCTATGGAAAAGCTTTGAAGGAAGGGTGCCTGGTTTCTTGGCAGTCAAGCTGCTGACCGAACCGGGGAGCAACTTCCAGCAACTTCACGTGTCTAGTGAGGATATTTTGGTTGTTGAAAGTTCACTTTCAGAGGAGGAGATGGAGGAATAGAGTCGAGAAGGAAAATATTTCTTCAAGCAGTGAGTGAGTCCACTCCCGGCTGGAATGCTGAATCTGGCCGGGTCTAGAAAAGCCTGAAAGCAAATTTCGTCTCATTGCTTTTGTACAAAGAGGGGTTTTGATGAAACATAAACATCCACTGGGATGGTACAGGAGGTTGTTGCTCATCGGCACGGGACTCATGTTGGAGGATGAGAATGCAAACATTAGGCCAAGTGATAACCCAACATAAACAGCATGGGGGGGGGGGTGGAGAAACCCGACTCCACTGACTTCACCAAATAGCAGGAGCCCTGCCAGCAGGATCCTGCCGAAGAGGAAAAACTCATTTAAAATATGTGGCTCCGGGGAATGAAACCTTAATATGGATAATTTTGCAAGTGTTGTTTCCAACAGGCATTAGCTTGTGGGGAACAAACATAAAGGCAACCGGGGAAGATAATTTGAAGCCCAGCTATTCAGTGGGCAGGAGCAGTCAGCTGAGAAAGGGAATGTGGAAAGAAAGCAAGGGGGAAGGAGTGGAGTGGCAAGAAAAAATTCGATGTTGGTTGATAATGGGATGTGTTAGCAAATTCCAAGGAGAGAGCTATGAAAATTGGGCCATCTTGGCTAGGGTAGATTTTTGTGGGGACCATGAAGACAGTGTTCCCCTGATCTATACTCTGAGAGCTTTGGCTTCTCTAGCAGGAAGATAATCTGATGGGATCATGGATTTTGGGAGTTGGGAGTGACTTTGGAGATCATTTAGTTTGAGTACCTTAATTTCAGAGGAATGGATGATGTGCCCAGTCTGTGAGCCAAATGCTGTACATGGACATGTATGAATTCTCAGACCATGCTGATAAGGTAGGGCTCTTATTATCCTTATTTTACAAATGGGATTTAGAGAGGTTCTGTGACTTGTTCAAGGATACACAGGCATGGTTTCCCAAAAAAATTAAACATTTGACCTAGCAATTCCACTTCTGGGTATATTCACAAAAGAACTGAAAGCAGGAACTTGAACATAGATTTTGTACACCAGTGTCCTTTGCAGGATTATTCCCAATAGCCAAAAAGGAGAAACAACCCAAAATGTCCATCAATGGATAAACAAAGTGTGGTGTATACATATACTGGAATCTTAATCAACCTTAAAACGGAATAAAGTTCAGGCTACAACAGGGTTGAATTTTGAAGACATTATGCTAGGTAAAAGAAGCCAGACACAAAGGACGAATGAATACCGTATGATTTTACTTATGTAAGGTATATAGAGCAGTCAGATTCATCGAGAAAGTAGAACAGTGGCCAGCAGGGGCGGGGGGAGACAGGCTGGGGGAAGTGAGGGCTTAGTGGGTGTAGAGTTTCACTATGAGATGACAAAGTTCTGGAGATGAATGTTGCTGTTGGTTGCAAGAGAGACTGAATGGAACACTTAAAAGTGATTAAAATGGTAAGTTTTGCATTACTTATATTTTGCTGCAATAATGATTAAAAAAAAAAAAAAGAATACAAAGGCAGATGAGCGTGGGGTGAGCCCAGACTAAAAAAAAAAAAAACTCAAGCTCACTTGGTACCTGGCTGACTTAAACCCACACATCTAACGGATGGATCGATTATGCTGATGCACATGTCCGCTTGGCGCAGCCTCACGACATGCGTGGTAGGGGACAGTCCTTGCCAGCTCCAGTTTTGGTGGCACCATTGCGCTGTCTTGGGTGGCTGTGGCAAAGAGGGAGACTGTAGAGCTGAAGGTCTGGCAGTCTTTGGGTCAAAATGCCTGCAAAAGTATTTAGTAGGACACTATGCTTAAAATGTTTTGAACCTGAATCCTTTGAGGTAGGCTGGCCCCCTCTATGGCCAGACACCCCACGTTTTCAACCCACACATATGTTACCAGTCACTCCCTACTGGCATTTGAGATTTTGACTGCCATTCTTGAGAGGGTGGGGTAGAAAGGGCGAGTGAAATCCAGAAGGTGGGGGGCTGAGTGCTGAATGGGGAGAAATGAGAGCGGGGGTTGAGTAGCTCGACAGGACTTTTAAAAGAAGGAACGTAAATATATTTTACGTTTTGTAGAACACATAGAACTTCTGTGACCACCCACTCTTTGGTAAAATATTTTATTCCCATAAGTGTCCTTGAGCATGAGCTTTTGGTGGAAACAGAGGATGAGGCTGGGTATTGTGTCTGGGTCAATAAGCTGGGGACAAAGCACCTTTGGGCATGGGAGTGTCTCAGAAATATCCCGAAGTCTTAGGGAGAGCTTTGGAATACCAGTGGTGTGGACTGAAGGTTTAATTTAAAGTCACTTATATCTGGGTTACTAGATGTCTAGATGGCTAGACAGAAATGGCCGAGAGAATGGTGTCTGGGGGAATCTAATGATGGGTCTTAAGTGAGAAATTATTTCCACCTGCCCCGCTAGGGGCGGCCAATCCCCATGCAAGAGAAACTTCTCTACCTGCCTCTCCTGAGACCAGCTCTAGAAGCTGCAATCAGTTTGGGGTATGTGCAGGTTGGGGGAGGTGCCATTTCAGTGATAAATGGGGGAAGTTTGTGCTCCCCGTCCCCCCACATGGGGGAGGACTTGTTACCCTCACTCTGGGATATGGGAAAGTCACAAGAGCCCAGCTCCCTCTCCTCTTTTTTTATTTTAAAGGTGAGGGAAATGCAGTGTTTACATTTTCCAGTTCTGAACTCCACGGAGTAGAGGACCCCAAGGCCAGCTGGAGCTTTGAAAACTACCAGATCAGTGGCAGAAAGTCTAGCAGATTCCAAGCCTGGTCTGCGTTTAAGGAATTCTGTTTGTCAGCCATCATAAGATCTGGGCCAAATTATTAGTTTTATGGTAGAGAGAAAGAAGTGATAATGTAGGAAAAAGGAAGCCTGCTACTTATAAACAAAACCACCCAAGGAAGGCAGAGAATTAGAATTGGCTGGAGATATCCTACTCTCTTAATCAAAGGGACTTCCACTACTCCCCACTGAGCTCCACTTCTCTCATTTTTTCTTGGGTGCAATTATATGTGAGACAGACACAGAGCCCATTTTTTCTTGGGTACAATTCTATGTGGGTTGAAGAAGAGTGGGTAGGGGTTATACCTCAAAGTCTTCACCCTTGATGACAGAAGCACCAAACGGCCTCCCATCCTATCAAAGATAAGGGATCTATGGGGCGCCTG